GAGAGAGAGAGAGAGAGAGAGAGAGAGAGAGAGAGAGAGAGAGAGAGAGAGAGAGAGAGAGAGAGAGAGAGAGAGAGAGAGAGAGAGAGTGTTGTAGACGATATGTCCATTTGACTCTGTGTGAGCACTTTGACTGATCTTTGCTGTGTTTTTTTATGCAGGCATAGCCCACATCGCCCGCACCGCGGGCGCTAAGCAAGTCTCATTGGCAGGCTGTTGGGGGAGGGGGGAGAGAGAGAGAGAGGGAGGTGAAGTGCAGGACATTGTCGGCATGATGTTTGATTGATCGCTGTTCTTTTAGGGGATATAGTCATCCTCCACAGGTACAGAGGACTTTGAATATTAGCACTAATTTCAGTCTTGGATGCAGCTGTGGTGCAGGAAAAAACAAAAAAAACTGCAGTGGAAAAAACAAAAAAAACCTGCAGTGGAAAGGGTAATGTTGGGAGACAACATAAATGGATGTGGACACAGATTTTTCCCCAATACCCCACGCATCTACACAAATCTACGCGGATTTTTCCCCAATTCTTCATGCATCTACAAGAATCTGCGTCCACATCCATTTATATGTTCTCCCAGAGCTGACTTTCGACTTCCACCTCCTGCACCTCAGCTATCCTACGGCTGCGATGCTTCATCTGATTGGCAGGCTGTCGGGGGGGGGTGGGGATGAGAGAGAGAGAGAAAGAGAGATAGATGTGAGGTGCACCACATTGTTTGCGTAAATGTTTGATTGATCGCTGTTCTATGAGGGGATATGCTACACAGGTAAGGAGGAGTTTTGACTTCCACCTCAGCCATCCTACGACTGCGATGCTTCATCTGATTGGCAGGCTGTCGGGAGGGGGGGGGTCATTGATTGCTGTTCTATGAGGGGTTATAGGGCTCGCCACACAGTCTTTCGAATGACAGCATTTTACGGAATATGTCAGACTTCATTCAAAAGGCTGCTCATGGAAAGAACCCCCCCTTCGCCACACAGACTTTCGAAACACCACCAGCCTTTCCATATGGGCATTGTAATAGCTGTTTTTTTTTGTTTTTTTTTTGCTAATTGCCCGTTTCAAGAAGGGCCTTTGCACAAGACCACTACCGTCTTCCCCCGAATAGAACGCCCGGTCATTATAGCCGTATTTGGTGCACATTTCAGTCCAGATACAGCTTTAATAACCGGGCGTTCTATTCGGGTGAAGACGGTAGCGGGCTTTTGAAAAACCGGTTGTGACAGGCGGGAAAGGGCAAAGGCGGGAGGAGCTTGCCCTTTCGAAAGACCTTTCAAGGCCAAACTCTCTTACACGGTTTAAAACATTTTCGAGGGCACTTGTGTCAAAAAAGCCTGTGTGACGAAGATGCGGTGTCAATTTTGCACGTTTCGAAAGGCTGTGTGGCAAGCCCCATACTCACCTACACCCCTCCCCCAGGCTACTAGCCCCTCCCCAGTCTTACTAACTGAAAAAAGAACTGAAAAAATCAAATCAGAGATACGCGATGTACTCCTCACAGACACAGAGAGAGAGAGAGAGAGAGAGAGAGAGGCCAGAGAGACACAAATTGGATCCATACAGGGAAGATTAGCATGGCTCCGCAGATGACACGTACGACTAAGACGGTCGAGAGAGAGAGAGAGAGAGAGAGAAGATGTGGGAGGAAGAGCATGAGGAGGAAGAGGAAACGTCACTGAGAGAGAGAGAGAGAGACCATATTAGAAGTGCTGACATTCCAACTGACCCAACATCTTGAATGTATTGGGATTGGATCTCTCTCTCGCTCTCTCTCTCTCTCTCTCTCTCTCTCTCTCTCTCTCTCTCTCTCTCTCTCTCTCTCTCTCTCTCTCTCTC